GGCCCCGACCCCAGCCTTTGCTGTGGGGTAGCGAGCCGACCGCGCGCCGCCCGGGACAGGCCCGTTAGCTCGCCCGGGGCGTCCCCGCAGGCCTCATGTGCGCCCACCACAGGCCTGAGGCGCAGCCCCTCCTCCTCCAGCAGGCCTTCACGGGGCTGCCTTTATTTTCTGGTGATGGCACGGGGTTTTTATTATAATTATTGTTGCTGCTTTTTCCCTTCTTCCTGCTTTTCAAAAGGGGACAAGACAAACCCCTCTGCGCTGGGGCCCAAGCCCCTGGCCTTCCTCCCACCTCACCTACCCCAGTGCCTATCGGACTGCCAGCATCCACCTCCCGTGTCAGGGGAGAATTGGGCGGGATTGCTGAGTCCGGGAGGTTTTCAGGCCTTGAAGAACCTTCTTTTTTGCCTTGCCCAGGCATATGGGGAATTCTAACAGTTCGATAGTTTGCCGTGGGGTAGGGACAATACACGCCTAAGGAGGTGGTCGGTATGAGAAATTACATGGAAAAGGGGTTGGATTGTATTCAACATCATTTGCATAGGTCAAATATGTAGTGTGTACAGCTTAGCTGAGTTAATATTGCTCTAGGACCTTAACCCTTCCGAACTTGAGAATTGGAAGGCAACGTTATAGTTGCATTAATATAGTAAATGCTTATAAACAGCAAATATTTTTGATGTAGGAGTGGGTGACTCATTATTACACCGCAGATACGTAGCTGCTCCCCACCAGATGTGCAGTTAATGTACCTAGGTATATCTTGATTAACTGCTAGAACAGGGACTCCTGTTCTATTGGGTTTAAGGAAATAAGCATCCCTGATGGTCCTCCCCCTTTTCCCTAGAAACGTCTATGTGCCTTAGAAGGCCTTGGGGAAAAAACCCTTTTCTCAACCCTGTATACCACTTTGTCAATATAATGTATCCTGGCTAGCATAACGGTGTGTTACTGGGTTATGCCGGACAAAGTAGTAACCTACTTCTTGTTCTGGATTTAATCCATGTTTAGAAATGTTATATGCAGTGAATATATGGGGGTTGGAACAAGGACCATGCTTGTATTGGGATGCCTTTCTTTGAGTAATGTAAACTTCCTTTTAATTGTCATGCATTTTTCTAGTAAAAGCTCTGCAAGTCTGCAATAAAAATGGCCTCCAATAAAACTACATTGGTAAGTTCATGCACACCTAAAATATATAAGGATTTAATCAACATATTTTTTCTTCAAACTTATAACTTGGCATCTCCATTTAAAAGATACATCCACATCTTCCCTCCCCAGCATTATTCTGACCAAAATTTCAGATCCAGAAAGTAAGGCTACTAGAAAGGACATTGTCTTTGGCTTGAATAAATCTGCCATTTCTGAAGAGACTTGTTGGGAAATAATATTAAAGGACTGCACTATTTCATCCATCATACAGTAGAAAACACTAAGGATTTTTTTTAGCCTCCTTTCAGCACACCGTGTAATTCATCATATATGTAAAAAATAAAATCTAAATCATCTATTCATTTAATTTCTCCCAGTGTATTTGGGGAAAACTAATTGCCTGAGAAAAAGCAGTCTTTACAGCTGAAAAAATAACATTACTGGGAAATGATGTGGCGTAGTTAAGATGCCTTTTGAAATTATTTTTAACAAATAACAGTTTCTTTGAATTTCATAGGAGCAGAGATTATCAGATGTCAACCCTTCCTGGACCATTTTAATGATGCATTCATGGATCTCAAGTCCTGTAAAGCTTTGCTTGATATTATTATATGGACTTCTAAGGGTAGTTCGTTGCTGGTTACCATTCAAGTAATACTTATATCCAGTTTTGTGAGAGAACTGAAAAAGTATAACATGAGATGCACCTGAGGTTGAGACAGGGAAGTAAACAAAAAATGCGCGTGTACAGTTCAAAATTTGGGGAGCAGAAAAACTGATTTATAATGCACTCAAAAAGCCTTTTTTTTAATTTACTGAAATGATTACTGGTTGACCCAATTCAAGATATATTAAAAGCTTTTATTAATTCCTGGCTTAGAAGTGCAATGGAGTGCTTTCTTTATGTTGTACGGTAACAAACTATTTTAAAAGATTTCACCAGGGTGAATGTCTGAACTTTCTATTAGTACTTGATTGCTCACTTTTCCCTAATTTGAGGAAGAGAAGGAATTAGCCAGCACGGGGAGGGGTTGCCTCAGGGAGAGGAAAGAATCTGTGAATGCAGTATTTTTAATCTTTTGATGTTGAAAATTCTGCTGCACCGGTCAGGAAAATCAGTTATGGTTCCCATGGGAACCATAACTAATTCTGCTTCATTATGTATTTGCATGCAAAAGCTAAATATATTAAGAGATAGTGTAGCTCTGAAACTGTAATTCTGATTTTGTTACCTCTTGTATGTTAAAACCTTTCACCACAGTGTCACATCAGTGTTTTAATCTTGCTCCTCATAGACAGAGTGATTATCTGCTGGAGAGCATCTGCATCTGTCATATGTGACTTCTGAATGCAGAAGGGGAAATGAGCCATAGATGAGCACTCAGTGGTCAAATGCCCAAGTCACATGCAACCCTAGAGAAGGGAGCTTCAGAGGACTGGTGGACATTTAGTATCCCTTAACTTCAGTCAGGTACCACGCTCAACTTGTGGGCCGAGATTTACATTGGCTTGTGTAATACCAGTATGTACAGGTTTTTAACAGATTTTAAGTATTTCCACAGGCTCTGCAAGCAAGCATTATTTTAATAGGTTGGAAAGGCTCAAGAGTTTGGAAAGCAAAGCTGATGCACATAAGACCTAATTACATCTCTAGTATTTAAACAAAAAAGCAGCATACTCATTTTATTATTTTTTGCTGCATTTCATGAAAAAATGCAGACCCCACCTATGACATCCATTTTCTTCTGTGGAGGGTTATATAGATTCTTAAGTCTTAGAAAGTAAAAAAAATAATAATTATTGCTTTGATACGGCAATCCAAAATGTTTATCTTTAAGTGACAAGAATTAGTGAAGCCGAAAAGAGTACCAGAAAACAATCTTCCATTGAATCAAAGAATTTTAGTCCAACGGAGAACACAGATGGAGATGTTCCCCACTTGTAGCCTGCTTGCCTCATCACCAGTAATTATAATGTTATTACTATGGTTTAGTGAGTGTGTGTATTTTTCCCCCCCTTTCCTTTTTTTTTTGGTTGTTTTCCTCATCTTTACCCCTTTGTCTTTTTCACACTTCCTTTTCTTGAAAGAAGGTGCCTTCATAGAAGAGTTGGACATCTTCATATTTTATTTTCCCTCAATTTCAGTCTTACATTTTTTTCTCCTGTGGAGGCAAAAAAAAAGCCAGTGTGTTTAATTTGACACTTTTCAGACATGAATGCTGTGGTCAAAATATACCTGGGATATGCAGGCAGCTAAAATATAATTGGAAATACATGCTCTGTTTTAGATAATCTCTCTTCTATGCTTCCAAATAAAAACAAGTGTTACATGAGATATAATCATATACAGAAACCTGCTGTTTGAAAGAAAAACTTGAAGTTTTCCTGGTCTTTGTTGTTTGTACTTTCAATTTATGGGTTGCTAACCAAAGTAAAGCTATTTTGGGAAGGGAGGGAAAAACAAGGGGCACAAAACCCCCTAGGGCTTTGGAAAGAAAGAATCTGCTTCAAATCTTCTGTTTACAAAAAGAAGAGAGTTTTTTCTTGTGTCTAACAGATATGTATGTTTTTTTACCTTTCACCACATCAAGATAAAAGTCTACTTAGTCTAAAAATTTGACAGTTTCAAAATTGCTTTGCAGTATTCCCAAACTAACCTGTGTTAATTTTAGAGAGGACTAGAGAAAGACCATCAAGCATTTTTGCTTGTCTGTTTTCTGTTCTCTAGGAAGTGCATTAGTAAGGAGTTTGTTCTGTCCACTTTGACTTAAGGTGCTGTATGACTACATGTTTTAGGAGCCTAATGCTGCTCCCATACTGCTGCTCTAACAATTTATAGGGTGCAGTCCAAAATGGCAAGCAAACTGTTTTTGGTTTGCTAGTGTTCCAGAAATGTGATATGACAACATGATAGGCAGGTTCCAACATTTTTGAGATTACAAACAAGAAAATTCTTAAATGTGTCCTTCTATTACTATTTAATTGTGCCTTATTAAACTGGGAATGCCTTGAGGATGATGTGGATGTAATTTATTTTTAAGAACTTAATATTATTTGAAGTATCAGATGTAAACTTAAAACACAAAATTTTTTAAGTTAGCAAAATTTCATATACGTGTTAAGTGCTGTACATAAGTGTAGCTGTCTTGAATTTTTTGCACCTTTGTGACATCTGTTTGAATGTAAGTTACATTGGTGCGTGGCTAAGAAAGAGAAAGGACTGCAATAATGGAATGGTCCTAGCATGCATCCTGTTCAGTAGTTACAGGTTATTGTTAAGTGTTTTGCTTATTGTAGCAATACATTATAAACTTTGCTCCCATCAGTTTATCTTTTATTTAAAAAAAAGTAACCAACTTTTTTGAGTACCATCCCTTTTCTATTTTATGCATTTTCACGGTTTCCTTATTTTCTTCTGCCTTATGCCATTTCTTGCCCTCTGCCTTTTCACAGGCATAGAGTTAACGTTAAGAAGCTTCGTAAATTTTTGAGCATGTAGCACTCTGAGAATTAAATTTATTAAGGGGAGTGGAAGCCCTGAGTATATGGACAAAAATATTTCACCTTTTTAAAAGCTTGGGTATCTCATTAAGCAACTGAAAAACCCAAAACAGTAACATGTCTTGCTCAGGTTACCTGACCACATGCACTAACATAAAAGGAGTCTGAGCTTCTGGCTTTAGTGTGAATAAGTACATGATTCTGTGCTGTTTACTGAGCAAAGTTGGATTTGGCCAGTGAAGTAACTATGTAAAGCAAAAGAATGAATAATGTTATTCTGAATTTATTTTGTAGCACAAAATGGGAAAGAAGCAGAATGGCAAAGGTAAAAAAGTTGAAGAGGCAGAACCTGAAGAATTTGTTGTGGAGAAGGTCCTGGACAGACGTGTTGTAAATGGAAAGGTGGAATACTACTTGAAGTGGAAAGGATTTACAGAGTAAGGCATTACCTATTATTTTTTTCTGATAGAAAGCTGAGTACTAACTGTTTATTTTAAATAACTATGCTGAGAGCGGGTTGAATGATGGGGATGCATTTTAAAGAACCCCAAGGGAAGGACATCCATAAATAGATATTCAAGTGGGGCAGGCAAGTGTGAAAATAAAATATGTAGCTTAGTGTTTGTGCTGCATAAAATATTCCAAGACTAACCAAATCCTTAGTGAGTGTTCTCTTACCACTGTTCTTTGGTTTAGCTTGTGTCAGTATCTATCAAGGTAAGCTAGCGTGACAGTTCTTATGTATGTGGTGGAATGAATGTTACTTCTGAGGAAGAAATTTTGCAGGGATTTAAGCTGTAGGAAGCTCTGAAGCAATGATTTTGAAGCAGATAGTTTGATTGTTACTTTTCTGACCTGCTCTCAAATTATAGGTGAATTTGCATAAGGAATACTGTGGCATGATTGCCTTCATTAGGCATACCCAAAAGGTATCTTTTGAGTCTCTTTCCCAGGAATTATGGAAGCACAAGAAAACCTTACAGTGGACTTGAAAAGTTGATTGTTAAAGAAGGCACATAGTTGTGCTTCTTCCCTCCCTCCCTTCCACCCGTGATGCTTTCTGGCAGACTACTTTACTAGCTGAAAAAAGGTGATGCACCTAGCATTTGAAGATAAGTAGATACATATGCAGTTATTATTGTTGCATACCTCCCAAAGTGATTGCATTGCAGGGGAGTTGGACTAGATGATCTTCAAGATCACTTCCAAACCATGTAATGATTCTGCGTTCTAGCACTTGAAATTTGTGTAGTGATAAGTGCATAAAGACAAAACACAATGTGTTTAGTATTCGAGGGTCTGATGTGAAGTTGTAAAATCATTTGTAGGCTTGTGCAGTACTGATGTGGCAGTGTTTGTGCATGAGGACTTCTGATGAGGTGCTTAGTTGTTGTAGGGAACATTCATGGACGTCTTAAAATTTGAGTTAACAAAATGCACACTAACTGGAACATCTGCAGTGCTCAACTCTGGACGTGGAATGCATGTTCCCTCCTGTAGTCAACTGAAGGAGGGAGATAGTTCTAGATGTAGTTGATCTCAGTGCTCTGAGACAATTTTTGAGAGCATTCCTCATATATAGAATCTTAGACATATGTATTTACACTCGTTGTAGTGAGTGTTGTATACGTTCTGTTCTCTGTAAGTCTTAGTGCTCATATTGCATGGTTTGTTTGCATGGACAATCTTTAGAGGAACCAGGGAATGAAGTCAGTTTAAATGGATAGGTAGGTTTTGGTAGCATGGAGAATGCTTGTTTTAACTCTATGATCCCACTCAAATCATAGGAGTTAATAGAGCTGTTTATTGTGTATCTCCAGCATAAGCGCATTGTTTTTCAACAAGAGCAAAGCATACTTCTTTCAGGCATCAAGTGCCGTACATGGACATTACTAAAGATTGCACAATAAGCATCCTTAGGTGTAAGAAACCTGCCTTACATAATGAGAAAATATTAACTTGCTTAAGATAAGCCACATGGCTAGTTTTAAATTTTTCTTCTTTTCCTAGTTTTACATAAATGTGTGTATGTTTCAGTGCTGACAACACATGGGAACCTGAAGAAAACTTAGATTGTCCAGAGCTAATCGAAGCTTTTCTGAACTCTCAGAAAGCTGGTAAAGAAAAAACAGATGGTGCCAAAAGAAAATCTTTGTCAGATAGTGAATCTGATGACAGTAAATCAAAGAAAAAGCGGGATTCTGTAAGTATAAGTTCATGTGCTAAGCTTTGTTTTTCCTGTGTCACTTCCCTACCTCTCCATCTCTTTCCCCCATAAAATCTTGTTATGGCTTTGAGAATGAGACCAAATATGGGTTTAGCACCTGGAACTGTGGTTTGGAAAGGGTAGTCATTCATGATGGTTAGTGATAGTATCCAAATGGTGGGTAAAAGATGATTGACTGACATGATGACTAAAAGTTCTTGCATTGTTCCATGATGTTTAGTAAGTAACTGAAAGTAAGACTAGTTAAGAGTTATTTATGAATGATGTTAAGTGGTCAGTTTGTATTAAAACAAAAGCTTCATGAGTGGAACAAAGTTGAAGTTCTGTTTTGGATCTCATATTTAGTATACGATTTTAAGTAGGCGAGTGGCAAGGTGGCAAAATAGGAAGACCAGGCAGTTACTTAGATTAGGACCAGACAAGATAGTGGAGAGGGAGTAGAAAAGGTGACTGAAGAAAGTCTACTTTTTTTTAAAGGTCTGGGTTTCTTCTACAACTTAAATAAGTGAGCAATGTGACAAATTTAGTGCTGATAAATACAAAATAATGCACATAAAATAATGTGCTTGATAGCTGACATTTTTATCTGTAAGCTTTCAAACTAGCAATTTGAAACAAAAATGGTTAGTGTTCTACTGAAGACAGCTGTTGGCTGTGTGGTTACTCTCAAAAAAGTTGGAAGGCAACAGAAGGAATAGTTGATGAACAGTACCAAGAATATTTTATTTTTTTTATAAAGTCAGTGGTGTGTCTTCATCTGGTGCAGTAGTGGCCACTATCTCAAAAAGGGTACTGTGAAACTAAACGATCTAATACAGGAAATAGTCCTGATAGTCCTTACCACCAGTGCTATGTCGGTGAGCCAAGAGGAGTTGAGGTATTCTCCAAGGGTGCGGTATCATGGTTGGCTTAAGCCAACCCAAGCCTTTTGTTTTGCTGAAAAGGGGGTGTTTTTCCCACTTCCAGGAGTACATTTTTGCTGTGCCTCTTTTGTTGCTTTTACTAGCCACTCTTGTTTATTTATCTACTGTAAGGATTTTTAGATTGCTTGTTTCATCTATTGAGTTTTCCAAAATAAATGCTAGAAACATTTGATGTAAAATTCCTTCATTGTTACTCTATGTCCAAATGCCTTGGCCTGAAGATCAGTCATGAAAGAGTAAAATTAATGTCATCTTCAGACAATTATATGAAATTATAGCTTTTATAATTATGTAAGGCTCTATTTTTTGTCCTAATGTGCACACACAGACATGCATATATACATACACATACAAGAATGCATGTATCTAGCCCTAATGCAAAATCAGAATTTTATCTTAAACTAGGTAACAGTCTTCTAACTTACTCAATAGGTTGATAAACCAAGAGGCTTTGCAAGGGGTCTTGATCCTGAGCGGATAATTGGGGCTACGGATAGCAGCGGAGAGCTTATGTTCCTCATGAAATGGTAAGTCTTACATCTACTGTTCTGGTCCATATTAAGGGAGGGAAGGCAGTTGCACTTAGACTAATGAGACAGCTTCATTTCAGGAGTAAGACAGCTGGTCATCTCATTATTAACCTTGTATTTGTAGAAAAACAAAAGTTTATATAATCAGTACTTATTCCCTTCTCCTTCCCAAACCAGAATAACTTTATGTTCTATTGGTTCAGTTTTTCAGAAGTAGAAGTTCAAAAGGTAAATTTAGGTAAAATATGGGAAAATTGGCATTTTTATGGAAAAGCTGGCTCTCAATAGTGTTCTTGCTGAGGGAACAGCAGGCAAAACTCCCAACTTTACATGTTTCAATAAGCAGAAGCCAGCCAACCTTTTAACCCAGCATAGTGCCAGCTGTTTTGTGTGCCAGCAAGTCAATTGGAAGGAACTAGAGTAGGAAGCTGAGTTTGGGATGAAGAACAAACAACATGAAGGAGAGGTTTATCGTTAGGGTCTAGTAAGAGGGGAGAGTGATGGAGGGAGTTTGCGTTGTTGGGAGGTTAGTGGTAGTTCAGCTTCATTAGCTGCAGTGTTGATCAAAGATTTCTTGTCTCCTCAGTGAACAAGTAGGATAAAAATAGATTTTTTTTTCCAGTGTTGAGAATACAAGAGATTGAATTAACATTTGATGGGGATCAGATTTCTTATGGTGGTGGGATGGGAGGAATGATAGCTTTCCACAGCCTTTGAGAAGTGTATAATTTTCTGAATGGAGTCAAACTGAGTGGTCTCTAGAGAAATGATTGTCATGTGATGTGCCTGGACTGCTGAAGAGAGTTGCTTTGGTAGATTCTGTCTCACTTCTGGCCTTTCAAATTCTCTATAAATTGTATGTGAAACTTAAAAGTTGTAATATACAGATTGTGACTGTTGGAGTTTCTGTTGTGATAATTGACAAAATCAAACAAAGGGAATGTACAAAAGGAAGCTTTTTTTTTGTTCAGTTGCAGTTGATTAGGTTTTCATAATTGATTGTAGGCAACAAACATAAATATTAATGTGTGTGCACAAATCTAAGTTGTAAATGCAGCATACACTTTAAAACAGAGTATGAAGCATGTCAGACTGGAAGGTTTCTTTATTAATATTTCTTTCTTCAGTATCAAGTATCAGTATGAAATACAGCAAGTTACTTGCATAAACAGTAAATATCATTTGGATGTAAATGCCACCTCTTAAGACTGATGCTATTGATTTTTAAAAGTCTCACTTTGAAGTTTTGATTACGCTTTAGAAGACAAAATTAGCAAAGTTTTACATCTTCCATTATATTCTGCAATAGGTAACTATAGTTGGTTCTCTTTGAATAGCATTTTCCTTTCAAACAGAAGAAAAAAAAACAGGAAGGGAAGGAAGATACAGCTATGAAACCTTGCTATTAGCAAGGAAATTGTTGGTAGCTATAGTGAAAGGTATACTGAAAACTGATTTCTAGCTGACATTCTTTTCAGAACTTATGACCTATCAAGAGCTGCTAAATTTACTGAATTAATGATTGTGCATTTTCTTAAATCCCACTCTCTTCTACATCAGGAAAGACTCTGATGAGGCAGATCTGGTGCTGGCCAAAGAAGCTAACGTGAAGTGTCCTCAGATCGTAATCGCTTTTTATGAAGAACGACTAACTTGGCATTCATGCCCAGAAGATGAAGCACAATAATTGTTTGCATTGCTTTTTTATATATATGAATATTAAAACCTGAAATCTGATTTATTAGCAATGTGAGAAGCATACATTCTAACAAGAATCAAATTTGATATTTTTTTGAAGTAGTATGTTTTGCATCAACAGCAAGTAAATAAAAGCTTTCTGCAACTTGTTTCATTTATCACAAGAGAGCATTTGATACTACTACTTCCTCCATACTAGGTAAAAGCTTTTATAAAACATTCATAAACTTCCGTAGTTATTACAGAATCATAATGAATGTCTGAGCAAACTCACAGATGTTTTGTAGTCTTCTATACTATTGATGTGCATGTATCATCTTTACTGAAACCTAGCCCTTTAAACCTGTAGAGTCATTCTTTTTAGTATTTGAGATCACTTGGTCACAAGAAGGACCAGGTGAAAACTAACTTTGTAGTAATTTGAATGTTATCAGACTGTATATTGTTTACTTTATTGTAAATACTGGTGAACAGTGGTCAATAAAATAGTTTTATATTCTTCCTTTATACTGATAGGCTGTGACTCTTTTGAAGCGGTATGATATTTCTGAACTTTTGATATGTTAAGATCTCAATTCCTAATATATTTAACTGTAAGTTGTTTTTTTGGGGTAGATTGATTAATTAATTGCTAATCTGTAACCACAATACCAGGGAAATACCAGGTTTTTATTTTTTTGGTGAACAATGCCTCAGGCATAGTTGGTTTCTTTTTAGTTTGGAAGGGCCTGTGAAATGAGTGTGCTTTGGGTACTTAAATTTTAAGTCACGGAGAGCAACCATACTCCCCAGGTATGGCTGCTGGTCACAGAGCCAAGTGGCCTCTGCAGGTATGCTAGGAAATACTTGACATGTGCTGACAGTATCAGCCTTTGCATTAATTTCAGTGCTTGATGCAAAGCTGTAGTGTAACTAGCAGTGGTTTGGATGGGACTGTTCATCATGCTGTCACCTGAAGAATACTTACACAGCTTTGCCTGTAAGGTGGAATATTTTAATGAAGATACTTAAGTCATATACCTTAAACAAAAGACTTTGCTTCTATTTCAGATTGAATTTTTAAATGAGTCTTGTAATCAGCTCATTCTCAGTTGGAGAATGCCTTCAGAAGGGCAGAAGTAAAGGGTGGAGAACTCAGGAGGAGGAAAGTTGCCTTTTCCCATTCTTTCTTCAGTTGCCATTCCTCTTCTCACTTTCTTTCATCTACACACCTTCTTTTATTTGGCTTTTGACTAATGTGGTATGGCTTGCCTTGAGCTGTGCCTCTCCATATGTCAATGGCTAAGCTTGTTTCAGAATTTCCCCTTAATTTAGAGTTTTAACAAATTTAGTAATTCTGTAATATGCTACTTTCAGAGTCCCAAGTGAGACAGTTAAGATTGCCCAGCTGTTTTCTTAAAAGATTTTAAAGATTGGTATTCCTGGAAACTCATTGTGTCCTGAGGAGCAACTGATGGAATTCAGCCTGTGGTTGATGGTCTTTTAATACTGTTTCACAAATCATTACTATAACTTTGTCCTCACATAGTTTCAAAACCCATTTACATTGTAAATCAGAACTTGTGATTGTAAAGCTTAAGAGTTAAACACTGGGATGGCTAAACTGATGCTAAATTACATTTTTATGTGTAATTGCTTTGTCTTGTCAAGATTTTTGATTACTGGGTTTGGGCAGAATTCAGTCACCATCTATTTGTGGCTTTAGGAAAAGTCTGGTACCCCTGTTAATGTGGGAGTTTCCTTGCACCAGGTAATGATAATTTCAGAGCTTAGTGCCCTTACCTGTTCTTAGACAAATTACTATGACTGTAAGTCTTCTACAGGGTTCATGGCTTATTTCTCTGGGGCCTACAATAGGGATATTTATACACCTGTAGAATTCTGAAATCCTTGCTTTTTTACCCAATAGCTTGAGAAATATATGGGCAAAACAAGAATTCCAAGGCAGCATGCGTTCTCCTGCCTGCTTTTTGAGTACAGAGTGCTTTTTAAAGAGTCTTAAAACTTATTTTACAGTTTGTGTTGTATTGTCTGAAACTTCGCAGTTTCTATACTTTATTTCAAGTATGAGTATCAAGTTTATATGAAGTTGCTGATTTGAAGCGATACAGGTTAAACAGTTGATTTAAATTATCAGTTATTGTAAGTGGTAGACATAGAGGATTTTTTTGTTGAAAGGTTGATTCTCCTTAATTTGTAACCCTTAAAGTATAGACTTACAACTAGATACAGCTTTTATATTATATTGTTCCTTCTGACTATCCGTAAAAGTGCACTGTATTCATATTTAAACAACTTTACAGCTTGTTAGACAATTATTTAGATTTTTAATTTTTTACATTATGATGGTAGAAATGCTGACTGGTATTTGTTTCCTTTTTTTTCTCTCTTGTGTCAAACTGCATTTTGATAGTAATGAAATGCAACACTTTAAAGTTACAAGTTATGTAAAATTATGCTGACTGTGCTGCATACATATGCAAAAAGTTAACAAATGTTATTAATTTAAAATTAACCGATTAAATAAATGAGATATCTTCTGTAGTTAGTGAGTTGTGCGGAGGTTTCTGGTCATTGTCCTTTCTTACACCAAAACAAATAGGTTTCAGGCTGTCATTTCATGATTGCTCTGTGTTGATGCTGCTGTCCTGAAAAAAAAAAACAACAAAAAACCCAGCAAACCAAAACCCTGTTGTGCTTGCTCCTAAACTGCTCGTCACCACGGCTGGAGAAAATACTCTTGAGGTAAACATAACCAGGTAGTGCTAGGTTATGCAAAATTCAAATCACTATCAGTTATGGCATCATCCTCTCACAGCCTGGCTCTTACTTCTTTGCTGGGAAAAAAAATACATTTTGCTTTTTTAAAAAACTCCTAATCTGTTCATTGGCATTGAATTAATTGCAAATTAATTACAGAGCAGTTGGTGTTAAAGGGAATAAAACAAATAGTACCTGCAAAAAGAGCTATCAGCATTGCAAGTGAATTTTATCAGTACAGCACAAATGGATTCTATGTGCTTCGTGGTAATTATGCTAGATTTACAGTCCAGTTCTCTTTAAAACTGCTTGACAGTCTCTCAACAACAGATTACAGTACATTTAGGACTCAAGTTGCCATAGTTTCAAATGTAACTAGAAGTACATTTTTCCTTTAACTGCAAATTATTATCTGTCTTATTTACTCACCTGAATTAGCCTCTTGCACTGTAAAAGACTGTCCCCTTTTCTAAGCGCTTTCTCCAACATCCTCAACATTTTCCTTACCATTGGTGTCCTACTCTTTCTGTTTGGAATTTCTTCTCAAAATGCCACCTGTTATTCAACTTTTGGCTTTAGCTGCTTATGTTAAGACACATCCACTTTGCTGACAGAGGCCTCTCAACTTGGACTAGCAGCCAAACCAGCTGCCCTCAGGTTTGTTTCTGAGGTGGCTCCCCCAGAACAAAAAATCATGCTGCACAGACTGCACCTCGTCTGAAGTGCAGTACCATGGAGTTATGGCCGTGCGGTTCCTGGACCAAAACGTTGCAGGGTTAAAACGTTGCTACACGTTTCTCGCTGTAGCTTTGTGAAGCTGTGTCTCTGCTAGCTCCAGGGGTTGTGCCTTGTTTTGCCAAGCGAATATGCCAACTAGCTGTTGTCGGGTTTACCTGTCTCAGATGTGTACTGTTCACTGGCAGTTTCCTCCTGACAGCATTTTGCTGTTCTCCCACCCTTTACCTGTGAGAGCTCTTCAGCGGCTGTGCAGCAGCTGAGGTAAAACTGTTTGGGGGTACCTTCATCTCAGCAGAGCCTGTAAAAAGCTCCAGAGGCTTTGAGCTTTGCTCCTGCTCCTTCCTGTTGGGACACTCCCAGCTGTCAGCTTTGGTGACATCAGATCCTTTTGAAGTTCAAATGGAAAACTTACATCTCCCTTTCGAGGACTCCTATCAAAGCATTCTGGGATCTTATTTCAAATAAATGATAGATGGTTTAAGAACAAAAAAAAAAGCCAAGGAAAATAAGGAAAATGAAGCACTTGTCCAGGAGAAAGAACCTGCAATTGATCTACTCCCATGCAAGCAGGAAT